AAATGGGCGTTATTGAAGTAACCATGTCGTACTTCGCAGTTTTCTGGTAACTTTATTAAAGTATATGAATTGAAAAGCTGAATCTCACATATTGGGTATGTTTTGAAATATACAACATTTGTTAGTAAAAAATATTTTGTTTGACCTAGAGTATTACAATTAGCATAGTCGTTCTCTGTTAAAGAAATGAATTTATGTTTGTCTAGTGAGATTGCCAAGTATGGGTTATGTGGTTGAATAAATAAAAATTGTGATGTAATTATTTCTATCGGCATCGGCCATACTCGGTAAAGTATGAATTCTTCCTTGGTACAAATAGGGAAGTTCAATATGAATAGTAATTGAGAATTTGCAAATGTTGTGCTTGTTTTAGTGATTTTTAAAAATTCGTCAATTGMAGTTGTATCATTGATATCGATCGGTAGGGTTTGTGTAGAATCAAATGTATTTTTAATAATTTTTAAATTATCCCTTAGTTCGTTATTATTTATTATTATTGGGTGTAGGATATTGTGTCGAGCTAATGTCAATGCGTCAATTAGTTCATCTGTTTCAAACGAGAATTCTGTTAGTAATAGATTTAAGTTTAACAAATATTCCATTAACGATTGAGTCACTTCTACCTCTAATAATTCATTATTTTTAGCTTCAATAATCATATAACTTATCGATTAACAACAAACGACAATCTAAACCAACCGCAAATATTTGTAACTTGAACTACTTAAGAGCTTCGGCGCCTCCACCAATATGTAACGTGGTTGGGGATGACTCGTTAAATATAAGATATTCAGGGAAGAAACTATAGTTCTTTTGAATATATTGTCACCGTAGCTCGGGAGCATGAATGGTATTAGGATCTTAATATTACAAATAATTAATGATTGGTCTAAATTATTATTAATACAAACAGATTTATTATTACTTACGGTTTACGAACAAAGTTACCAAAAATGTGGAGTTGTACGGAGTTCAGGTGAGCGTGATGGTAATCGCGGAGAACTAAATTTCTCCTACATATTCCTTTTTGGCCGTAGCCTTACAATAATATTTATATTACGGRACAGGAGGAGCTTAATACATATTCAGCATAATATTATTTATGTTATGTATATGATATACATATATATATACCTATAGTATATAGGTTTCTATAGCATGTTAATATAATATATGTATGTAACAATCGTTACAAAGCTCTGAATATTTTGCACTTTAGTAAAAATGTTGGCTAATGCCTCGACCACACTATATTATTAATAATTTTCACTAGTCGGACGTGATAATGTATACTGTGACGTATCCCACCGATGCCACTAAAAATGTTATGGAAACATGGTCCCAGCACAAATATATTTAACACACGATTAGATATTAATGATATAGATTTTATTACTGGTCTTTAACTTTATTAATTGTACAATAAATATAGAAGGCTCTGGTTAAACATACGTTATGTATAATGCTCTGTTCTAAATACGACTGACTAACCTCCTCCTTGTGTGTCGGCCTCCGACCCAGCCGGACTCTGAATCGCCTAGTCAGCGGATTCCTGTCGACGAGCCGTCAACCAATACACTATTCCTGCACTTATAATATTATATCATGTGATTACATAATTTTATGTTATATTATTTAGGAGTTCACAGCAATAATAGGAAATGCGTATAACGGCTAGGCGACACAATAACACTATAAGACACTCGATAATTATGCTTTGAAATATATATTTTAATAATTATTATGATAATAGTATATAATTGTAAGAAAACCAACACAAAGGTTTAAATTGAATATTAAATATTTATCAGTCAGTGCCCAGTGAGCGTGTGCAGTCTGGACACTCCGCTGTCACACGCACACGACACAGCACAAAAAACTGATAAAAATTAGTCACCGCCTCGACTGCACGAGCAGACAGTGCTATCAATAAATCTCTTATCACACTAMACTCTACAATCCTTCAATGGACTCTGTAAGTCGGAAATACGTGATAACTCGTATAAGTTGGATCTCACTTGGTAATGGATTAGTTGATCACCCTTATAAAGAGTATAAGATTCTAGTTTATCACACGATTTCCGTTGGTTTTCCTCCAACAATAAAAATTTCTCATTGTCGTTACATAAAGTTAAGTAGTCAACTTCAGGAGGAATTAAGGCTATGGTGTTATTATCGTACTGAATAGGTAGAGATATAGGGTGGTACAGGGTGTACTCTTCTAWTGATAAGGATATTCCTAATGAGAATACTAGATAATGCTTCATATGAAAAACTGTGAGGTCAGAGTTTCGGAAAAATTGTGTCAGAGATTCTGCTTTTATTTCTAATGAAAACGTTGTCCCCCTGGTAAGTTCAGTTTTATTTCTCTCAGCTCTAGGAGAAGCTGCTCCGATGAGAACACACTTGTATGGATTTTACCATTTATTGCCGAGTTAGCTATAGACATTAGGTTTAGAGTTTCGTACATATATCGGAATATTGGTTTAGTARGACTTCAAAAAGAAATGTCTGTTCCAACAACTATGTCCTGAATTATAGCTTGTTGATGGCCTGTGTGAGTCTATCGTCTGGTTTTGTAGATATTGAAGATTTTCCTCTAGTTTCTGCTGGTGTTGTAAGAGTTTCTTTGTTTGATGATCTGGTTCCACTTGCGTGATCCTGGTTCTTTCCGGAATAAAGGTGATGCTCTGTTTTCTTCTCGGGTTTAGTTCTAATATTTTATTGAATATGAATTCTACGTCAATCTTTGAGTAAATGCCATATAAGATATTTGTTATCTTTTGGACTGCGTTGATTAATCAATTCGTACTCTCCCCTTTTCCATGTTATCATCTCCCATAGTCAACTGCATGTTCTGGTTGCTCTACTCAATTTTATAAAGGTAAGGCAGTGTTGCACTTCTAAATAGCTGTACAAATTTCTCACATGTAGTTGATTCAGTTTTTAATCGTAATATTCTTTCGGTTTTTGTTTCTGTTCCTGCAGACGTTGCCTGGTTATTTAGTGCGACAATTGGAGTTTCTGCTTTAGTTCTATATGATAATCTTCATAATTGTAATGAGGTCCTGGAGTTGCCTTAATGAATTTGGTACGTTTATTGTGCGCCCATACATTAATTCATAAGGCTGCTTCCCTGTGGAGCGATGTTCCGACGAGTTATAGACAAACATAGCATATGGTATGAATGTATTCCAGTTAATTTTATCTTGATCTAAAAAATGCCGTAGAGGTTCGTCAGGTCACTGTTTTACATTGTAGAATAGGKGCCTTTAAACAAGTAATTTATTGATGAATGCAATTTTATATCTTTTTTAATTATTACAAATTCTGACTCTGCAGATGATAGGTACTGATACTATGAGTAATAAAGAGTTTTATAGTAATGTCTGTGATCAAAATTATAATTATAATTCTCTGAGTGAAGAAATAAACGTACAATTACTAAAATATTTAAATTAAAAAAGAAGCAGAATCTACAGTTATTAAACTTTTATCTTGTAGTTAAATAAATATTTTTGAAGTACAAATCAATACTTTCATCATCAGCACCAGTGGAAAGATTATTTAGTGGTGCTTGCTAAGTTTTGACATTAGGACGAAATCATCTTGGTAATATAATATTTAATAATTGATTGTGTGCTGATTTAACCAATAGATTTATTATTATTATTTGCATATATGTATATTTGTAAAGGAAATTTTTTTGTAACTCATTGTTAGCATATTATTTTAAATTTTTACTATTCAATGTCATTAATTTTTAATGTAATATTTTTGTATACTGTTTTTATATTTATATAAATACATAATGTTATAATTATCTGTATTATTTTTTTGATATTTTTATAGTTGTACACAAAACAGAAGAATCTCAATAAAAACTGATCCTTCTTAAAACTTGTTTTCAATTCATTTAAAATTCATCTCAATTAAAGTGGGCATAATTATGCTATATTATGTTATAACTAGGTATGAGTGACTGAGTATGAAATACTTGGTCGCGTAATCATATTCAAAACAAATACTACATCCAATAATTTTTCATAGAAAATATTGATGTAAACCGTTTGTAGCACCTATCGATTATAAGATATTATATGATATCATTTCACATCATTAAATGTATTGTTATATATTTATTCATAMATTTTTATGCTAAAATGTTAATAACCATTAGGTAAACTAAAAATAACAGTTTTTTAAATTTTAAAATTGTTTAAAATGTTGAGTTTAAATTACTATTTGTTTTTATATTTAATATTATATTTGAAAATAAATAGATAATACAACATAAGTATGTCTAATGTTTCATGATATTGAATTTTTTAATTTTTAAAAAGAAGTTATAGCTCAATGCTCAATATTTTTATCTTATAGCATAGGCACCTACTTACTTTTGAATTTATCATGTAAATATAATACTATTTAAATATGGTTATAATGAAAATAATGATAAAATAATCAAATATAATATAATATCAATTAAAATATTCTATAAACCTATATTGCTATCTAATGAGATAATATAATATGCAATTATCGTTAAATAAATTAAAGAAATAATGAGRTAATAACGATATTATGAAYATAGCATTGTACAATACAACAAGAAGGGAAATAGTTCTTCTTCTTCCTTGACTTCGGCCTTCAAGACCATTTCGTCCAATAAATTTGCCTCTATGTTTCCCTATCTAAAGCAAACTCCTTCCAATCCATTTCTGGTCTCAATTTCTCTACGTCTTCTTTGATCTTATCTTCCCAGCGTAATCTCGGCCTTCCAAGTGGTCACTTTCCTTGTGGTACATTCTCTTTTACTATTTTTATCAATGACTCTGTTTTTCTCCAAGAATGACCTATCCACTTCAGTCATCTTTTGGTGATATCTTCTTTAATACTTGGTCTTTGGTACAAATCCTGCAGTTCCTTGTTTTTTTACGTATTCTCCATTCAACTGTAGGTTTGTCTATACATGGTCCATACATTTTCCTCARCACCTTTCATTCAAACACTAATAGTGCATTTTCGTCTATTTTCCTCAAGGTCCAAGTTTCCGAGYCATATGTCATCACTGGCTTGATAAGTATCTGGTATATTTGGGACTTCAGATTTTTTGAGATTACTCTGGATCTTAATAACTTTGTCTGGTCAAAATAACATTTATTGGCAGCTTGTATTTTAACTTTTATTTCAGTGCCTATTTTATTCTGATGTGTTATTATTGTGTCATGATGTTTSAACTGCTGCACTCTTTTGAATTTATAACTTATGACTTTCAGGACCTCGTTACGACAGCCTATTTGCTCATGTCTTTGCACTACYATATACTCAGTTTTATCWGAGTTAATCTCTAGGCTTACCCGTTTAGCAGCATTTATAAGTTTTTTTGATTGTTCTTTGAGTTTATCTTTGCTTTCTGCCATAAAGACTATATCGTCTGCATACGCTAATATTCCAATGTTATTTCCTCCTCTGCCTTAGTCCAGTTGTCACTTGTACCGTTTTCGATGTCCTACCTTTACCTTGATGTCAGTGTGACCAATACTGCACTCGACGAGTTTTATTAACTTACTAGGCATTCCGAACTCTTCTAAAGTCTTGATTAGGGACGCTCTATGTATTGAATCATACACTTTTTTGTAATCAATGAATATCATATGTACACTTTTATCATACTTCCAGTTCTTTTGTAACACCTGAAGTAGAATGAAGATTTGATCTACCATGGAGCGATTTTGCCTGAAACCGGCTTGATAGCTTGATAGTCTCCTATAATCTCTTCTGCCCAAGGTTTGATTCTGTCAAGTATACAATAAGATAAAATCTTATAAGTTACATTAAGCAGAGCAATCCCTCAGTAGTTGTTGCATATTTAATAATCTCCTTTCTTGTGGATGGCATAGACTAAGGCTGTTTTCCATTCCTTTGGTATCTCTTCTTTTTGCTATATTTAACTTATTAAACGGTGTATATATTTAACAAGATTATCCATTCCTGTTTTAAGTAGCTTTCCGGTAATCCCATCTTCACTGTGTGACTTATGGTTTTTTAGGGTTTTTATTTGTTTCACGATTTCCTCTACCATAGGTTTGGGATAATCTTCCCTATTTGGTTCCTCATTCTCAAAGAGGAATGGTTAGTTGGTTCTCTATAATTCAGTAACTGGTCGAAGTATTTAGCCCATTCCTCGACTATTTCATCTCTATTCGTTAACCAAGTATCATTTTTGTTTCTTAAAAACATTTATTTTGGTTTAAAATCCTTGCTTAAAGAGCTGATCTTTTTATATAGGTCTCTTGTCTTATGATTTTAAAATCCTGATCCGAATTTCTTACTATGTCTTTGATAAATTTTCATTTTTCGGATCTTATAATAATTTTGTTTGCTTCTTTTAGTCTCATTTTATATATAGATAATTTTTCTTCATTTTGGATATCCTTTAACTGAACTTCATTCGCTTGCTTCTTGCGTAGTAGGGTATTTTCGCATATCTGGTTAAACCACGGTTTCCTCATAAATCGTCGTACCCCAACTGTTATTTTTGGCGTTTTGTGGATCACATTTTTTTATAGTCGGACAATAAGCTTTCGATATCATCATTCCCGTAATCTATATGTTCATCATTATCTCATTTAATATATTCTTACGGAAATCTTCACAAATTTTAGGTCACATAGCTTTTGTATTTCAAAAACTTCCGTTCTCTTTTTTGCTTTCTTCAGTTTCACTTTAAGTCTTCCTACAACTGGAAAGTGGTCAGACCCACATTCCGCACCGCGGTAGGTCCTTTCATCTAGTACACTATTGCTGAATCTCACATTCACTAATACATAATCAATTTGGTTAATGTATCTGTCATAGGGGACCTCCAGCTAGGGATTTCGAATACACGTCATAATGTCGCGGTAAAAATGTCGCTGTAAAAATGTCGCTGTAAAAATGTCGCTGTAAAAATGTCACGGTTAAAATGTCGTAAACACAAAAAAGCCGCGAATACAAAAATATCGCGATGTCAAGAATATGAAAAATATAATATAATTATTATAATTAGGGTTTGGATTTATATGTATTTATAAAATCAAAATATGTACATAAATATGTAGTAAAAACTCAAAATATGTTTTTTAATAATAGGTATAATTTATAAATTACATTATTTTCAGGTAAGCTGCTAGTTTTCTTAAATCAAGTGCAAAATTTGATTCGTTTATATATTTAACTTGTAGCCCATTTCATTGTACATGCCGCCAAATAGATTGGGTGAAATGGAAAAAACACCCTTTAATGTTAACTGACGGAAATACATATTTCGAAGCGTTCATAACAGCTTTTTCAAAATCAAACATCATTGATTTTGGATTAAGCTRTGGTTTTAAAMATTTTAATGCTAAAAACATACGTTTGTAAGTATCTTCTTTTTTATTAGGAAGAAGTATATAAAYAGCTGGTACAACTTTTGAATAATTTATTCCATGAACAGTATAGAGTTGGTTGAAAATACTAGGTACGCAAGAAAATGTACCATCGCATAACCAATGTTCACACTGTTCCATCATTTGTAAATTATTGTCGGTAGTAAATATTAAGAACCGGTCTATGTTATTTTCGTAATCAATCAATGCTATCATATTTTAAAAAAAGCTCACCGGTTGAAGTGTTTGTGTAATTATCTGGTATTTTGAGTTCGGTTACTGATTTTGGATCAGGAGGAGCTGATCTTTTAATTTTTCTAACTCGTTGAATTGTTCGTTTTAATCCTGTTGTGCTCGGAAATTGTCCARCTATGTAATATCTTACTCATCTGAGGTATGTGCTAACACGTTTTGGTATTTGGTATATTATGTCGCATTCTCTACATTACAAGGAGTTGCATAAAATAGTAGTTGCATTATTCATTCATTAAGAGCTTAATTATTAACTTTGTTTTTATTAGCTTCCAGTATAAAACTATTAGCTCAACAATTATGATAAGATAAAACTAATGAGTGGTTCACAAAAGTTAAAATATATAAACAAACTATAAGTATAACCTTGAGAAGGTTATAACTGTTATAATGGAAACAAAGTGTATGGAACTAGTTATGGAGATGTAGTAACTTTAGAGATTAGTGCATTAAAAACTAAGATGAATAAAATTAGTGGACCAATTATAAAGATTTGAGTTTATTGATGAAACTAGATAATGTAATAGAAAAATGATCTGTGAAGAATGTTTGACCCAGGTGGCATCCGCGTAAGACTTCACTCTGGAATGAGGGTGTGACTTCGGAATTTTGGCTGTAGGTGCTTTTCAATGGCTTTATTTTTATTTTGAACTATCTTGAAAACTGGACAGTCCCTGAAGTTAGAAGTGTTGTTCTTGAAGAAAAGTGCACACTTGTATGAATTATTCCGGTCTTTTGGAAATGTCAGTAATTCAGGTAGAAAGTTGTAAGCTTCTGATGACGTTCCTGTAAGAGAATTGAAAGCGACATGAAAAGTATGAAAATTGATGTCAGTTTCATTTAAGTGAAGTAATATTTTCTCTTTTCTCGGCTGAGAAATTTGGAAGCACAATTTTAAACTTAGACTCAAAGTGAAACATTGGAACTGAGTAAAGATTTGTGTGTTTCCAAAACATTAAAATTTTCAGATTTGAGATATAGTTTAGATTCATTATCATCTCAAATAATTAGTCAACTAAGAAAAAAACACTATTTTACGTTAAAAAAATCAATGATCTTATAGAATGAGTTCTTTTCCTTGAAAAAAATTCTAATATTATTAATCGAACTTTATCTCCGTCTCATTTTGATCAACTTTTGCAGTTTTTACAAGAATTATTGGAACAAGATGGGTTTTTTTTATGTGATCATTCATGGACTGCCCAAACCTCCCACCACTCAGGAAAATGTTATAGAATTTCTTATAACAAAATACTTATTCAAGAGCTACGTTGGATTTATGCTGAGCTTAAGGATTCCAATTACAAAGATGAGCAAAATATAAAAAATTTAAAAAATAAATTTAATAACATAATTAATTTTCCATAATTTTCAGTTTCATATTAGTTAATTTTTATTCTTATATTAGTCCCATAGAAATACATTAGTTTTGTAAAAAAACATACCAACGTGTATTTACTATCGGCGTAGATACTCGTCGGCATTTTTTCCGTCGGCGTAGATACTAATCGGCGTAGATGCCGTCGGCGTTGATACCGTCGGCGTAAAGACATGGAACCGATAAAACGATTACACTGCTTTTATTAATGAGTTAGGTATTTAGACCTTTTCTGTACACCATTACATTTTCAAAATATGTTGACCCTTTTTAAACTTATTTATAGGCAAATGATTAACATTTATGATTTTTACTGCCTTTTTTAAATTGTTGTCGCTGAAAATTGTTTTGCTCAGTCAAAAATCTTTAAAATTGATTCAAGATTACTCATAAGTCATAAGTATTTATTAGTGGAAATAAAAAAAAAGTTGAGTGGTAACCCACAATGCTTTTTTATGATTATCTGAAGTTAGAACTTAATAAAATAAAATTATAAAATTATAAAATTATAAAATTCATAAAATTCACAAAAATTTTGAATTTTTTGTAGTTAAATATGTATAATATAATGTTCAATTTTTATATCTTAGGCTTTAACATTAAAATCAAAAATGTTTATAAATTGTTGGTACTGCAACCAATCTAACCTCTTCTAACCAAAAAAAATCTAATAGGAAAAATTTATTTTATAGGTATTTTAACTTTGAAATTTAAATTTGGATGAAATTAAATACCTATTTAAATGAATAACAACTATTTTAGTAATTTTATAGCAATTTGAAAAATATTATTCGTTGGTAATAGTTATTTTACGAGTAGTTATAGTATTATATTTTATATTAAAATTAGAAATTAGAATATCTGGGTCACATAATGAAAAATAACAATAGATATGGATTGCTGCAACTTATACTTCAAGGAAAAATTGAAATCAAGAGAAGTCCTGGTAGACGAAGGATATCTGCTACAGAATATCCGGAAAGATCTCTGGGACTGGTTTAGTAAAACATTAATTGAATTATTTCGTTTATCGTTAGAAAGAGGAGCAATATTTAATATGATTTCCAACATCTGAAACGGATAGGAACTTCAAGAAGAATGATATTTTATAGATTGACAATTTTAAATAAAATTACTTCGCCAAAAATTAATTTAACCTATTATACTATTAATGTCATATATTTAAACAAGCTATAAGTATAGTAATTTATTAGTACGGTAGACCGATCATTTTCTCCCAGAATCGTTAATTGTATACCTAGATCGATTTTATATCAATAAATTTAAATTTAATACATCCATCACTCAGTGCGCCTATAATAGACACCTTAAMATGTAAAACAGAGCTATATAGTCCCTGATTTTTATGTGCTTTTTATTTTTAAATAAACTAAAAATCTCAAGTATTTTTTATAAATATATAATTTTCTTAATATATTTCATTTAATTGAACTATCTAAGTTTTTAAAATAATCATAAAATTCACTATATACAATATACATATTCAGTTAATGCCCACCTTTTGTCGTAAAATTTCTGTTGCTTGCTAGTGTAATTTACGTGCTATGAGTATCAAAAATTATCATCCCCTAGTCTTGTTTTTGTATAGTATATATATATATATATATATAGTTGTTACAGTAATTTAACGTTATAATTAATATTAATAATAACAACGTTAAAAATATTGCATAATATATTCCTTCAAGTATCGATTATAGCTTGTACAACAACATCGTAATGTTTATTCTTCATCCGACCCGTCGACGGTCGTCTCTTGGTACATCTGGTATTCAGAAATCAGATCATGCATGTCGGACTCGGCCTCAGTGAACTCCATCTCATCCATACCTTCGCCGGTGTACCAGTGTAAGAACGCCTTGCGCCTGAACATGGCGGTAAACTGCAAGGACACTCGTTTGAAAATCTCTTGGATAGCGGTGGTGTTGCCGACAAACGTGGCCGACATCTTGAGACCCTTAGGTGGTATGTCGCACACTGCCGTCTTGGTATTATTCGGTATCCACTCGACAAAGTGGCTGGAATTTTTTGTCTGCACGTTGAGCATTTGTTCATCCACTTCCTTCATGGACATGCGGCCGCGGAATATGCTGGCAGCAGTCAGGTACCTGCCGTTTCGAGGGTCACATGCAGCCATCATGTTCTTGGAGTCGAACATCTGCTGGACCAGTTGTGGGACGGACAGTGACCGGTACGGGAGTCCGCCGCGCGATGTAAGCGGTGCGAACCCGGTGATGAAGAAGTGCAGTCGCGGGAACGGTACCATGTTGACCGACAGCTTCCGGAGGTCGGTGTTCAGTTGCCCAGGGAACCGGAAACACGTGGTCACGCCACACATGACCGATGACACTAGGTGGTTCAGATCGCTGTACGTCGGTGTATTCAGCTTCAGAGTCCGGTAGCAAATGTCGTATAAAGCCTCGTTATCAATGCAATACGTCTGGTCAGTGTTCTCCATCAGCTGGTGCACGGACAGCGTCGTGTTGTACGGTTCTACGACGGTGTCAGACACCTATATTCGACGTGTCGATTAATATTCTTGTAATATCTCATTATTTAGGTTATATGATTACTTATTACTGGCATTACGGCTCAGAAATTATAAAAGCTAAAATGGACAAAATATTTACATAAAAAAAACTCTAAAATATGCAAAAAAATAATTTGTAAAATATGATTATTGATATTGATATGAATATGATATTGGAAATTTCATAAATTTCATAAATTTCATAAATTTTTTAAAATTGTATTAATTATTATATAGTAAATATAATGACTGTTGTATTGGTACTAAAATAAAAGTTGTATTATCGAATAATAGAAAAATCTTATTTGTGGAAAACTGGATGTCAGTTAGCTTTTATCGTAACCATGATTTTTTTGGGGGGATTGGGGAGTCCAATTTATTGCTAGTGATGGGGTATTGCCAGTAGGTACTTCCGGGAAAATTTGATATTTTGGAAAGAGGGAAGAGGGGATTATGCACTTATGCCCTTCTTAGCTTTGGAACTGTAGTTGTAGTTATCGAAATAAAAAAATATTATATGAAATATAAAATTTTGAATCATCCTCTCGTATAGAATAGATTTTTAGCTAGGTTTGCTATAAGAACATATAAAAAATGTTTAAAAATTCTAGAACTTCCGTGTCCTGTTTATAATTTATATGAACGAGAGTGGTATGACAACTGTTTCGCGTCGTGTTAAGTACATACAAGCTGCATGTAGGCACGCAGCATGTTGGGTAGGCAGAGAGTAGGCATACACGTGGACACTATATTCTAGGTATCATTGATGCTCGGAGCTAGATATGTTCTTAGTATAATATACAGCGTGTCCCGCGAGCATTTACCCATTGCGATATCTCACAAAATAATGGAGATATCAAAATTCTGGTTTTATAATAAGATTTACAG